AGTTTCACCTTTTTTGCAATCAAATTACGCTCGTACCAGAGCAAACAATCTGATATTATACTAGGCACCGGTTATGAAAAAAAGTAAATTAGAGATGTCGGAGTGTAGCGACGTGACTTATACCATTCGAAACATAACTGAATGAAATTTTAATATTGCAAGTTTCACCTTTTTTGCAATCAAATTACGCTCGTACCAGAGCAAACAATCTGATATTATACTAGGCACCGGTTATGAAAAAAAGTAAATTAGAGATGTCGGAGTGTAGCGACGTGACTTATACCATTCGAAACATAACTGAATGAAATTTTAATATTGCAAGTTTCACCTTTTTTGCAATCAAATTACGCTCGTACCAGAGCAAACAATCTGATATTATACTAGGCACCGGTTATGAAAAAAAGTAAATTAGAGATGTCGGAGTGTAGCGACGTGACTTATACCATTCGAAACGTAGCTGAATGAAATTTTAATATTGCAAGTTTCACCTTTTTTGCAATCAAATTACGCTCGTACCAGAGCAAACAATCTGATATTATACTAGGCACCGGTTATGAAAAAAAGTAAATTAGAGATGTCGGAGTGTAGCGACGTGACTTATACCATTCGAAACATAACTGAATGAAATTTTAATATTGCAAGTTTCACCTTTTTTGCAATCAAATTACGCTCGTACCAGAGCAAACAATCTGATATTATACTAGGCACCGGTTATGAAAAAAAGTAAATTAGAGATGTCGGAGTGTAGCGACGTGACTTATACCATTCGAAACATAACTGAATGAAATTTTAATATTGCAAGTTTCACCTTTTTTGCAATCAAATTACGCTCGTACCAGAGCAAACAATCTGATATTATACTAGGCACCGGTTATGAAAAAAAGTAAATTAGAGATGTCGGAGTGTAGCGACGTGACTTATACCATTCGAAACATAACTGAATGAAATTTTAATATTGCAAGTTTCACCTTTTTTGCAATCAAATTACGCTCGTACCAGAGCAAACAATCTGATATTATACTAGGCACCGGTTATGAAAAAAAGTAAATTAGAGATGTCGGAGTGTAGCGACGTGACTTATACCATTCGAAACATAACTGAATGAAATTTTAATATTGCAAGTTTCACCTTTTTTGCAATCAAATTACGCTCGTACCAGAGCAAACAATCTGATATTATACTAGGCACCGGTTATGAAAAAAAGTAAATTAGAGATGTCGGAGTGTAGCGACGTGACTTATACCATTCGAAACATAACTGAATGAAATTTTAATATTGCAAGTTTCACCTTTTTTGCAATCAAATTACGCTCGTACCAGAGCAAACAATCTGATATTATACTAGGCACCGGTTATGAAAAAAAGTAAATTAGAGATGTCGGAGTGTAGCGACGTGACTTATACCATTCGAAACATAACTGAATGAAATTTTAATATTGCAAGTTTCACCTTTTTTGCAATCAAATTACGCTCGTACCAGAGCAAACAATCTGATATTATACTAGGCACCGGTTATGAAAAAAAGTAAATTAGAGATGTCGGAGTGTAGCGACGTGACTTATACCATTCGAAACATAACTGAATGAAATTTTAATATTGCAAGTTTCACCTTTTTTGCAATCAAATTACGCTCGTACCAGAGCAAACAATCTGATATTATACTAGGCACCGGTTATGAAAAAAAGTAAATTAGAGATGTCGGAGTGTAGCGACGTGACTTATACCATTCGAAACATAACTGAATGAAATTTTAATATTGCAAGTTTCACCTTTTTTGCAATCAAATTACGCTCGTACCAGAGCAAACAATCTGATATTATACTAGGCACCGGTTATGAAAAAAAGTAAATTAGAGATGTCGGAGTGTAGCGACGTGACTTATACCATTCGAAACATAACTGAATGAAATTTTAATATTGCAAGTTTCACCTTTTTTGCAATCAAATTACGCTCGTACCAGAGCAAACAATCTGATATTATACTAGGCACCGGTTATGAAAAAAAGTAAATTAGAGATGTCGGAGTGTAGCGACGTGACTTATACCATTCGAAACATAACTGAATGAAATTTTAATATTGCAAGTTTCACCTTTTTTGCAATCAAATTACGCTCGTACCAGAGCAAACAATCTGATATTATACTAGGCACCGGTTATGAAAAAAAGTAAATTAGAGATGTCGGAGTGTAGCGACGTGACTTATACCATTCGAAACATAACTGAATGAAATTTTAATATTGCAAGTTTCACCTTTTTTGCAATCAAATTACGCTCGTACCAGAGCAAACAATCTGATATTATACTAGGCACCGGTTATGAAAAAAAGTAAATTAGAGATGTCGGAGTGTAGCGACGTGACTTATACCATTCGAAACATAACTGAATGAAATTTTAATATTGCAAGTTTCACCTTTTTTGCAATCAAATTACGCTCGTACCAGAGCAAACAATCTGATATTATACTAGGCACCGGTTATGAAAAAAAGTAAATTAGAGATGTCGGAGTGTAGCGACGTGACTTATACCATTCGAAACATAACTGAATGAAATTTTAATATTGCAAGTTTCACCTTTTTTGCAATCAAATTACGCTCGTACCAGAGCAAACAATCTGATATTATACTAGGCACCGGTTATGAAAAAAAGTAAATTAGAGATGTCGGAGTGTAGCGACGTGACTTATACCATTCGAAACATAACTGAATGAAATTTTAATATTGCAAGTTTCACCTTTTTTGCAATCAAATTACGCTCGTACCAGAGCAAACAATCTGATATTATACTAGGCACCGGTTATGAAAAAAAGTAAATTAGAGATGTCGGAGTGTAGCGACGTGACTTATACCATTCGAAACATAACTGAATGAAATTTTAATATTGCAAGTTTCACCTTTTTTGCAATCAAATTACGCTCGTACCAGAGCAAACAATCTGATATTATACTAGGCACCGGTTATGAAAAAAAGTAAATTAGAGATGTCGGAGTGTAGCGACGTGACTTATACCATTCGAAACATAACTGAATGAAATTTTAATATTGCAAGTTTCACCTTTTTTGCAATCAAATTACGCTCGTACCAGAGCAAACAATCTGATATTATACTAGGCACCGGTTATGAAAAAAAGTAAATTAGAGATGTCGGAGTGTAGCGACGTGACTTATACCATTCGAAACATAACTGAATGAAATTTTAATATTGCAAGTTTCACCTTTTTTGCAATCAAATTACGCTCGTACCAGAGCAAACAATCTGATATTATACTAGGCACCGGTTATGAAAAAAAGTAAATTAGAGATGTCGGAGTGTAGCGACGTGACTTATACCATTCGAAACATAACTGAATGAAATTTTAATATTGCAAGTTTCACCTTTTTTGCAATCAAATTACGCTCGTACCAGAGCAAACAATCTGATATTATACTAGGCACCGGTTATGAAAAAAAGTAAATTAGAGATGTCGGAGTGTAGCGACGTGACTTATACCATTCGAAACATAACTGAATGAAATTTTAATATTGCAAGTTTCACCTTTTTTGCAATCAAATTACGCTCGTACCAGAGCAAACAATCTGATATTATACTAGGCACCGGTTATGAAAAAAAGTAAATTAGAGATGTCGGAGTGTAGCGACGTGACTTATACCATTCGAAACATAACTGAATGAAATTTTAATATTGCAAGTTTCACCTTTTTTGCAATCAAATTACGCTCGTACCAGAGCAAACAATCTGATATTATACTAGGCACCGGTTATGAAAAAAAGTAAATTAGAGATGTCGGAGTGTAGCGACGTGACTTATACCATTCGAAACATAACTGAATGAAATTTTAATATTGCAAGTTTCACCTTTTTTGCAATCAAATTACGCTCGTACCAGAGCAAACAATCTGATATTATACTAGGCACCGGTTATGAAAAAAAGTAAATTAGAGATGTCGGAGTGTAGCGACGTGACTTATACCATTCGAAACATAACTGAATGAAATTTTAATATTGCAAGTTTCACCTTTTTTGCAATCAAATTACGCTCGTACCAGAGCAAACAATCTGATATTATACTAGGCACCGGTTATGAAAAAAAGTAAATTAGAGA